AGAAACTGAAGAAATTGAAGAAACTAATGATGTTACACTATTTTGTCTTTTTGCAGACATTGAGCCTATTAACTTCAATGAAGCTGCCAAAGATGAAAAGTGGAGAAAAGCAATGGACGAGGAGATGAATGCAATTAAAAAGAATGATACTTGGGAGCTAGTCACTCTTCCTCAAGGACATGCTACTATTGGAGTGAAATGGGTGTTCAAAGAGAAAAAGAATTCTAAAGGAAAGGTAGAAAGATACAAAGCAAGGCTTGTGGCTAAAGGCTATAAGCAGCAACATGGCATCGACTATGAAGAGGTTTTTGCACCGGTAGCTCGTCTAGAGACGATAAGGTTGATAATTTCTCTAGTAGCTCAAAACCAGTGGAAGATTTTCCAAATGGATGTCAAGTCAGCCTTCCTAAATGGCTCTCTTGAAGAAGAGGTGTATGTTCAACAACCTCTCGGCTATGTTGTAAAGGGTGAAGAGAACAAGGTGCTTAAACTGAAGAAAGCTCTCTACGGCTTGAAACAAGCTCCAAGAGCTTGGAATTGCAGAATCGACAGATACTTTCAAGAGAATGGCTTTGTCAAGTGCCCTTATGAATATGCTCTCTACGTAAAGGTGGGCAATGGTGGAATTTTAATTGTTTGCCTATATGTAGATGATCTAATCTTTACAGGCAATAATCCAAGTATGTTTGAAGAATTCAAAAGGGCAATGAGCAATGAGTTTGAAATGACAGATATAGGACTCATGTCCTATTATCTTGGCATAGAAGTGAAGCAGATGGAGGAAGGGATCTTCATTTCACAAGAAAATTATGCGAGAGAGGTGCTTAAAAGATTCAACATGAGCAATTGTAAACCAGTGAATACTCCGGTTGCCGGTGGCATGAAGCTGTCCAAGTTTGAAGAAGGTGGAAGTGTAGATGCAACTCTTTTTCGGAGTTTAGTTGGAAGTTTGAGATATTTAACTTGCACAAGACCTGATATTTTGTTCGGAGTTGGATTGGTTAGTCGATATTTGGAGGCTCCTACAACAGTTCATCTAAAGGCAGCAAAGAGGATCCTTCGCTATGTAAAAGGTACTACTAATTTCGGGTTGAATTACTTTGCCTCTAATGACTTTACTCTTAGAGGTTTCAGTGATAGTGATTGGGCCGGAGATATTGATGATAGAAAGAGCACCACTGGATTGTGTTTTACATGGGTGATACAGCTTTTACTTGGAGCTCGAAAAAGTAGCCCATTGTTACTCTGTCAACTTGTGAAGCAGAGTATGTTGCTCTTAATTCTTGTGTAACTCATGTAGTTTGGTTGAGAAATTTGCTAAAGGAGCTTCATTTCACACAAGAGGGCCCAACGGAAATATATGTTGACAACAAATCTTCAATTGCATTGGCAAAGAATCCTCAATTTCATGAACGAAGCAAACATATTGATACCAAGTATCATTATGTGCGCCAGTGTGTTGAAGACAAAGTGGTGCAGCTAATTTTTGTGAAATCTCACGATCAGATGGCAGACATCCTTACCAAGGCTCTCAAGTTTGATGATTTCAAGAAATTAAGAAGCTGTCTTGGAGTTGGAAAGAGTCATGTTTAAAGGGGGGTGTTGAAAGGATAAACATGCCTTGAATATCCAGTTCATGTATCTGGTATGAGTAGTATTTAATAATGTATCTAGGAGAATGGGATTCATGTATACCAGTTAATTAGGAAAGAACCAGTGTTTGTGATTTATCTATAAATAACTTTGTAAGTTCTTATTTTCAATGAAGTAAATACAGAGAAATATAGTCTCCAAACTCTCCTCTCTTCCACTGCAGAATCCTCATAAGTCCAGTTATATCCAACAATCTAGGTTCTCCAACCAAACTTGCTAGCCTCGATGGTACCACATAGCACACCAACTCCTTATCTAATCGTGGTTCATATCACTCCTTCACCACCAGAATCCTCCCAAGTGATAAGATGTGTCTAGAAACTCCTCCATTTCCCACCAAAACTACTTGTTTTTTTCAAATTCTAGGTTTTTGGAATTTTTTCTTGCTTGTTTGTTTTCCCCTTTTCTTCTGGCTCATACTTCCCAAATGTGAACCCAGCGAGCTTTACGCTTCTAGTCAGGCTTAAGTAAGGGAAATTGTGCTATGATGGTGATCGACTTATCCTACACGTTCGTTTAGCCACAGGATAGACATGATTGCTGGTGGTTCATGGTATTTGTAATCGACAAGAGAACCCAGATCTAAAGAGGAAGGAGAAATGGGATTTCTCAGGATTGTGCAAAAGAAAGTTTGGACATTTCTAGATGAAGCTTTAGATTTGGGTTTGCGAGAACCCATGATTGCTCAAGAAGTCAATGAGTGATTCTAGGGCTTTTTGGGTTTCAAATTGAACTCTTTTGGAAAGCAAAATAGCAGATTGGGGAGAAAACCTACATGAATTCATGAGATAGGAGATCCTAAATGAGTGTTTATCTGTTGCATTTGCGGAGATAAAATCTGATCAAAAATGGTGTTTGCAAGTGGGTTTGAAGAAATCTGTGGCTATTTAAGATTGCGAGGGATTTAGGGAATTCTCTGAGGAACAACATTAGTGTTTAGCAGCGAGAATGATAAACGATTTTTGGGAGACATCTTCAATCATGAGTAGGTCAACCTAGAAGAAAGAAGAAGGATGAGTAGGGAAAGGAAGGAGGAAGAAGATGAAGTTTCTTATTTTTTGCCAAATCATAAATAAAAAAATATTTTAGTTTACACATCATTTAAAAAAATATATAAGGATTGATATTCTGGCAATTTAACGTGCCACTTGTCTATTTAACTGACGGAAGAACTGTTTTGGTATCGAAAATGAAAGTTAAGGGATAACTTTAGTACTTTTTAAAGTTGAAGGACAAT